GAGTTACCTAGGTCTTAAGGGTCCTTAAATAAGAGAGTATAATAGGTAGTAGTAATAGCTTTATACTTAGCTTATAGTGTTATATAGCTAAGTACTTTAACTACTACTACCTACGTAATAATATACCTATAAAGCACTAGGCACTTAGTAATAGTAGCTCTAATAAGGATAACCACCTACTTAATATATAGTCTACCTATACCTTATATATTACTAGAAATATCTATAGCTAGCTTATTAATAAAGGGAGCTATAAGGTAACTAGGTAGTATACCCTTTTTTAATAGGCTAGTGCCTAATAGTATAGGCTACTTAGCTTTAGAGGTAGGGTAGTGTTTAAGGGCTAGAAGTAAGCTTAAGATATAATATATAATAAACTTATATAAACTATATAAGATACCTACACTATATAGCTTACCTATACTAACCTTAATAAGGCTATATAGTAGTTTATAGGTAAGGAGGCTAGGCTTTATAGACTATAGACTATTATCCTTAAGGATATTATATATAATATAAGCCCCCTTATCACTATTATAGGCACTAGTACTAGAAAGAGCCTACTCTTTATACTACTAGTGTTTATTTCCTATAGTGGTATAACTATTATTATTATACCCCTAGTCACCTTCCTTAGTAACCTAGTCTAACGCTACGTAAGGCTAGGTATTACCACTACTAAGTAGTAAGCTAGTGCTAAGTATATTAATATCCCCCTTATATTTATAACACTAGAGTCTACTATAACTAAGTCCTTCTAAGATTATACTAATAGCCTAACTAAGTTAGTTACCCTAAATAAGATTATTATTAATAAGTATTATTATATCCTAAAAAGTACTTTATAATTTTAATTAAAGCTAGTAGATATTAGCTAACTTACTATACTAAGGGTATAGACTATTTTCCTTATAGCTACGCTCCTACTATCCTATATAAATATATTCCTTAAAACTATATATATCTAACTATATAATATATATTTATATTACTTTAACACTAACCACACTAATATATATTATAAGGTTTATACTAATATATATAAACTAGGTATAATAAATATAAAGAATATAATATAAGTATTTAAGGGTTATATATAGAGGCTAATACCTAAGGAGGGTAGCTATAAAAAGCTAGGTAATAAGTTTATTATTTACTATAAGTCCTACTAGGAGGTAGACTAAATAGCTAAGCTCCTCTATACTAAGGTATACTATAATAATATTAGTATATAAGATATAAAGGCCTATATACTTATATACTAGGCTACCCTAGATAATAGATCTAGGCCTACTAATAAGAATATTATTATTACTATTAGCGCCTTAGGTCTTAGCATTAATATACCTAACATTAAGGTAGTCTTCTATACTAGTACCCTTTACTTATTCCTTAATTATATATAATAAACTAGTAGGGCTAGCTAAGGCATCTACTATAGGCTAGCCTTCCTTTACTACCTACCTATCCTATCTATAGCTATTAATACTATATCCTAGTTTATTAACTATTAAGGGTACTATTAATAATTTATCTTAATATTTATAAATAATAACTCCCTTACTAAAGAATACTCTAATACTATCTTATATAAAAACTTATAATATAACTAATACTATAGCTAATTATAATAACTACCCTCCTAACCCTACGTCCTTATATAAGTAATATAAAAACCTATAGATAATAGTAATATAACTCACTACGCTACCACTATATATACCTACACTAAGAGTATTACTAGTATAGACACTACTAGTAAGATTAATAAGCTTAGGTTATATATTAACACTTTTAACTTTTATATTATATATTATATCTTCTATAGTATAGCGTTAACGCCCTAGTATAGTATAAGGGAATACCTAATACTACGTATAAGGGAAATATACACCTAGTATAAATACCTATAAGACTATATAGTAGCCTTAGCCCTTAGGCTTAAGTACCTAATATATAAGATATATATAATACCTTATAACCTATATTATACTTATAAGTAATAGTAAGATAGCTACTAGAAAGCTATATATAAGTATATAAATAATATAATACCTATAGCTATTATTATAGTAGTATATAATAAGCTTAATAGCTTATATATATAGGTAGCTAAGGTAAGAGCGCTAGATATTATATAAGACTAGCTAGCTATTATTAGCGACTAGCTTAGCTAGACCTCTATCTAGAAGTAGTCCCTAGGCCTAAACCTATATAAGGTAGTAGTATATACTATAAAGGTAGTTAAGTAAGCCTATCTCTAAAGCTATAAGAAGTAGTATTAACCTAGCTAGCCTTAGACTATAAATTATAATATAGTAAATTATTATATAGCCCGCCTAATATATATAATAATCTACCTAATAGCCCTATATAGCCTATAAAGTATAGTATATCTTATACTAGCCTATAACCCGCTAGAATAAAGATATATAATAACCTACCTAAAATAAATAATATAATAACTAGACCTATTAAATAATTAAGATTAAGTAATATAAATAGATAGTAAAGGGTTAAGAGTTAAGGCTAGCCTTAGCTATTATATAATAGCTAAAACTATATATACTACTATTAACTAATAGCCTAGTACTATTACTATAGTTTCCTATAACTAATATTAATATATATAGTAATTATCTATATATATAATAATATAAGCTATTAAACCGCCTTTAGCTATTTTATAATAACTAAGTATTACTAGATATTTACTAACTAGGCACGCCTAGATAGCCTACTATAGACACTAGTACGTTTTATATATAATTACTACTAAAAATATATAGGCTATAATACGCCTTTATCTACGTAGAATATTTATTTAAAATATTAATAATAATAAAGATAGTAATAATAAATTTAGAGTAATTTAAGGCCTACGTAGGCCGCCCTCGTTATTATAGCCCTACTAGGGACTAGGCCTAGCTAATTCCTCTTCCTTTATTATTATAACTAACTAAAACGCTATTCTATAATAGTTAAAACGCTATTTTATAATAGCTAAGCCTATTTATTCTTATTTATTACTAAAGAGGTATTAATAATATACTAATAAGGGTAAGAAAAGTTACTCCTAAATAGCTATTTTATAATAGCTAAGGCCTAATTAGCTATATATTAACTATACTACTATATAGGTAATAAAGATCCTAATATAATAAAGGGCTATATCCTTAGTATATATACTTAGATCGCCTTATTATATAATAACTAAGCCTAATATACTCTAATATATATTATAGGTTAAGGGAATAAGAATAAGCCGCTAATTTCTTTAAACTAAAGCTTAACTAAATATACTAGCCTAGCTAGTATAGAGGAAGAGTAATCTATTAAGGATATTATACTAGCTATATTAGCTACTAAGCTAAAGATATATCCTAACCCCTTATATATTATATAAGATAAGGTCTTACTTAATATAGAATAACTATATATTATTATATTTAAAGCTACCTTACCTTTAGCCTAGTTATAA